CTTGGGTTGTTTCCACTCAGTGAATCCCTTTCATGGCAAGGATTCTTGGCTCACTAAATGGAGTCAGGAGAATGCACTACATTTCAGGTATGGTGGTGTACACCTATAATCCCAGCAATTCAAAAGACGAAGCAGGAGGACTGTAAGTTCAAGTCTAGCCTCAGCAACTTAGTGGGACCCTAAGCAATTTAGTGAGACCCTGTCTCAAAATAAAAAACAAAAAACGGCTAGAGACATAGCTCGTGGTAAAGTGCCCCTGGGTTCAATCCCTAGTAACCACTGCCCCCATGCCCAAAAAAAGGGCTGGGAAGGTGTCTTTCAGAAAATAAGTCTAGATGGATTTGTAGCTCCTTTGAAGGGGTAGGCTTTGGTCTTTTGTGTAAGGTCTGGGATGTTGGTAAAGTGTCTGCTATGAATGAGACTGGTGGGATTCCCCACCATTTCCCAGCAACTAGGAGGAGAAGAGACATCTGCCAACGGGGCTGGTTCCTGGCTCCCAGAAGAGGAGAGAACACCCAGCTCAAGATACCAATGAGAGTGGGGGAGGCTCAGGGAAGTTTATCAGAGCTCACATTCTGGGCTATGAGGCTCAGTGTGGGACCTTGGGGCTATGACCTTGGTCTATTTTCCTTCTTCTCTAGGCCTCAGCATTTCCATTAATGACAAGAGAATGGACTCATTCGCCTCTGCCAGCTTTTCCAGGCATAATGAAGGGGAGCAATAGCTTCTTGCTCAAGGAGCAGTTCTGGATATTTTTAATAATCACCTCTCTAAGAGAGCCTAGCACAAGACTCAGGCTCTGGACTGAGAGTGTCATATGTGATCTCCTGATCACAAACCCATGAGGAAGCACTGTTACTATATCTGTTACACAGGAGAGGAACCCGTAGGCCATACAGACTGAGTGATTTACCCAAGTGCAGCAGCAAGGAAGGGACAGAGTCTGATCCAGACCCTGAGATGAACTTGGCCACAGTCAGCCATCAGCATTCACTACTTCCACCCTGTGTCATTTTGAGGGTGATACTCTAGTGCCTATCCTAGAATCATAGCGCCAAGACAGAGGTAAGCCCCCCTGGCCTCGACAGAACTTAGAAAAATATCCATGTTACTACAACCATCCAGTCCCAGAGTGGCCTGCAGAGGAATCTGCCTCTTCCAGAGCTGGGTCTCTTCACCCTGAGATATAGAGTAGGGTTGCTTGACCTCTTTTACCTGTCTTGGGAATTGTCATTCTCCCTTCTATGAGGAGGGATGGGCCTCATCAGCCCCTGGTTGAGAATTTCCTTGAATAAAAGATAGCCTTTCATAGGAATAAACTCATTAACCAGGGATATTTTCCTTTTCCTCAACCTTTACTTTCTGGAATTTGTTTAAATATAAAATTTCATTATTGGGCTGGAGTTGTGGCTCAGTGGTAGATCACCTGCTTGGCATGTGTGAGGCCCTGGGTTCAATCCTCAGCACCACATATAAATAAATAAAGTAAAAAGATCCATTGATGGGGCTGGGGATGTGGCTCAAGCGGTAGCGTGCTCGCCTAGCATGCACGGGGTGCTGGGTTAGAATAAAGATAAAGATAAAGTTTGTCTGCCGAAAACTAAAAAATAAATATTAAAAAAATTCTCTCTCTCAAAAAAAAGATCCATTGACTATATATATATATATGTGTGTGTGTGTGTGTGTGTGTGTGTGTAAATATATTTATATGAATTCATTATTAATTCCTTTACTCAAAAGTATTTATTATGGGGGCTGGGGATGTGGCTCAAGCGGTAGCGAGCTCGCCTGGCATGCGTGCAGCCCAGGTTCGATCCTCAGCACCACATATAAATAAAGATATTGTGTATGCCGAAAACTGAAAAAATATTTAAAAAAAAAAAAAGTATTTATTATGGTTGGGCACAGTGGTGCATACCTATAATTCCAGCTAGTCTCAGGCAGGAGCATCACAAGTTCAAGGCCAGACTCAGTGACTTAGTGATACCCTGTCTCAAAACAAAATAAAAAGGGTTAGGGATGTAACTCAATGGTAGAGCACTTCCTTTGCATGTGTGAGGACCTGGGTTCAATCCTCAGTACTTTTTTAAAAAAAGTATTTATTATGTACCTGCTGTACTCTAGACTCTGGGAGCAAACAAGACAATATTCTTGCTCTCTCTCGGCAGGTTAGTTTGCATTTTCCAAACAGATGTTGCTATAGGCCAGCCTGTGCCACCTTAAGAAGTGGTAATACAAACTCCATGGGGTTCCTCAGATGGGCCCCTCTGCCCTTGCCTAAATTCTGTCCCTCTGTGGCAATTCCCAATAGGAGCCTGCCCATATTCAGCTTGCATATGTTTATCAGTAGAGAGTTCCTGCCCCTTCCCAAGGCCCCTGCCTTCTGTTCCCTTGGTCCCCTTGCTGGTTTTCCTTTGTGTGGAGCTGGATTCTGTCTCTCCTCAGTCTCCTCCAGGTATAGGTCTGCCATCTGCTCCTTTTCATGTGACATGAGAGGCAAGAAAGACAGCACCCCAGACCTTATCCTGGAACCAAAAAAATACACCACAGGGAAGGAAATTTCATCTGCTTTTCTGCCTGATTGCCACATGCAGGATAGGAGATCTTAGGTGGGGCCATGCCCTCTGCCCCATCACCCATAGACTTTGTAGACTTTCTCCCAGGGCCAGTGTGCTGAAGTGTTGGAAGTCCCCAGAAGACTGGGTAGTACCCAGAGGTTCTGTTGCCCCACTCAAGTGACCCAGGAAGAATGAAGCCTGTGCCAGGATGGTGGGCACTGTGCATACAATCAGCCAAAATTTCTGGGTTCCCTATCCTTACCACAGTTCCCATACCAGAGGACCCAGTGAATCACCAGGGAAGAGATAATGGGGTGTTGTTTAAAATTGTAAAAATACAATGATGAAGCTCATTGAGTGGCTTGTGTCAACACTCCAGCTGAATGACAGGCCAAAGAGCCAGGCTGGCCAGCGGAGGAAGGTCAATATTGACTCAAACTGCCTCTCAGCCCAGCTCTAGCCACTTGGACATTGCTGCAGTCCAGCAGGGGCTCAGGCCAGTCCATCCCTTTGACTTCTGTTTACTGTGCCTTGAATCCCAACCTGTGCCCACCCATCTCTGGGTGTATAGCATTAGGCTTTCTGGGCATGGGGTTGTCTCCAAAGGAAAACCTGAAGAATTACATTCCTTGAAGGGTTTCAGGTCAGGGACCTCCTTAGCCTCTCAGATTTCAACAGTCTTCACATGTAGAGACTCAAGACCTTAATATCTTGCCAGAAAGAATCTCCATAGTCCCTAACTACAAGACTCCCTTTTGTTTTGACAGCCCTTAGCTTTCCATATCTATATTTTGCTTGCCTCCTCACTTTATGTACATAAAACCACTGTGAGATAGTTTGAACCTGATTTCTTGGGCCCATTTTAAAGATGGAAGGTGGATAGGAAGAGGAAGCAAGTGACAAGAAAAGGAATATACACACAGAAAGTGCCTGCCCCATACCAGGTATTACGCTAGGTGCTTCTTATTAGTACATCTAATGGTTAATGGTAGATATTACAGGTTCCATTGTTAAATGAAGAAACCAAGGCTCAGAGAAAAGCAAATATCTAAGATGGTCAGTGTAGAACTGGAATGCAAAGCTCTGACTCCAAGCTCATTCACCATACCCAGAGCCCAGAGAAAGCAAATGACTTATCTTAGATCACACAACTATTTAGAGCGGAGATGAAACCAGAATCCTTGAGCTGAATGCTCCCTCTACCCCAGACAGCACCCATGATAATGGTATAGTCAGGGTCACCCATGAACATGTGAACACATGTGACATGTACTGAGGGTGTTGCTACTTCTGCCACTAAAGCCAGAAACGGCCCCTTCCTTGGGCCAAAGACCCTGAATTAGGGTCTTTCACACTATTCATCTTCCATGAACCCTCTGCCCTTACTTTATTCCTACTGCTTTGTTCTATCACCCTCCAACAGTGTCTTGCCAAATAGCCAGACCATTCTCAAAATCCTCCCAGAGAGGAGGACTCAAGGGTAGTTTAAACTTTTCCAACTGGAGGCCAGTGAGGTGGCCTCTGGGGCTGAAGGACATTTATCATTACAGTTACTCCTCACAACTACCCTATGAGAATGGCAATCCATCCTCATTTTACAGTTGAGGACATTAAAAAATTTGGAGAGAAATAAAACAAATGTGCCAAAGGAGTCACAGGCAGTTAGGATTCAAACTCAGCTCTTTTTGGTTAAAAATGTTCTCAGTCACTGAGAACCAAGAGGAGAATTAACAGCATTGCAATACATACTAAACCAGACACAAAAATGACCACATAGATTGGAGACCCCACCCTGCCCACCACCTAGTAAAACAAACCCAAGGAGCCTAACAAACACCAGATGGGGGTGTGGGGGGATACAGAGAATACACCACCCCAATCTTGGGAACTCTCATGTCTTGGCCCTTGGTGTTCCTAACAGCATCCACACCCTATATGGAAAGTTACTTCCTGGCTATGGGAAGAGCTGGGGCAATTTTAGCATGTCTGGGGGTCTGGGGATCTGGGGAACCAGCTGGCAGACTGCAATGTGCAGAGCAGGGGCATCTCTGCCTGGGACTCCTGAAGTCCCCACCTCCTGCCCTGCTCAGCACAGATGCCGGGTCTGCTACCGCACTTTCTATTTGGAATCCTCTTCTGCAAGCCTGCGTTCAATGCAACTGGCCTGGCTGACGCTGCCTCACCCCAGACAGGCATCAGACCTGATGAAAATCCGAAGCTTGTGCCAGGACAGGGACAGCCATTTGAAGCCCTCATGACCTATCATGGGGCTGAAGTGGTGTGAGTAACTATATGCAACCACTAAGGACTGAGAAATCACAACTAGCAGGGACTAAGCCACTGCCTAACTAGGAGGGAGTCAGTTGCCTGACCACTGTTCCTCCCAGCCTGCCTCTCAGGAAGGTATGGAGAAGGCTCTAGGGCTACATGTTCCTCACTCACCTCCGGGAGGCCTTCCCTGACTCCTCTTCCTTGGGTCTCCTCACCTTTCAGCAGTCAGCTCTCTTGGGCACCGAGGGAAGACCAAGGACCTTCCAGGGCCAGTCCACCGCAGGCCTAAACAGAAACACATAAGAAATAACATTGTGACAAATGTAGTAAGTATCCCCGATTTCGCGACTGGCTGGAGTCTAAGACGTTGCGAACTGCCCCACGCCTCCCTCCCTCTGAGCGAAATGAGGTGCTAGAGGCTGCGGCCGGCTCCCAGCGGGGCTCCGGGAGGAGGGGCAGGTGGGCGTAGCGCAGCTTCCGGGGTGGCCCCTCTCCCCACCGCTGTCGGACCCCGCGCGGCCACGGCCTCGCTGCGCCGAGTTGGCGCGCACGCAGAATAGGTTGCGCTCCGGGGGCGCCGAGCCCGCTGTGCCCGCGCGTAAGGCCCCTCTGTCCCGCGCGGGCCAGCCTCGAACTTCGGGGACTGAAAGCCGGGGTAAGGGAGCGCGCTTAAGGCAAGGCCTGTCCCTTCACCGCGGCCCGGGCCGGGAGGGGGATCACCGGCCTTTGGCAGCGGCGAAGCACTCACCTGCCGGGCGAGAAGCCCGCGAGCGCTCGGAGAGGCCGCGGGAACCGGGCCCGCCCTCCGCGGGAGGGACCTCGGCGCGGGGAACGGCGAGGAGGGGCCGCGCTTACATGTTTGTGCAGCGCCGGCTTCACCTGGCCGCGAGTTTGATTTCAGGGTGTGGCCTCAGGTAGGACATAGCGAACGCAGAACAAGGGAAAAATCGCGCAGGGGTGCAGGGGCAGCAAGGCAAGGAGCCCCGCTGCCGAAGGAACGACCCTTGCCCAGCGCTTTTCCTCCAACCTCTTGGCTCCAGCTCCCACCGACCCTGACACGGCCGGCCGCTCCCATAGCTGTCTGCCCGCCACGCAAAGACCCGACCTGGATTATCCGCTGAGCACCGGCTGGTAATTAACTCATTAATTTATCTTGCAGATGCACGCTGTGGAGCCGCAGGCCCACTCTTTGGGACCTAAGAGGTGCCGTGGGTGCCACCCACACATCCTGGAGAGCCCAAGCTGCAATCCTAAAACCTGGCACCTTGGCCTGTCTGCCCCATTCTGAATTGTTCTGGGATAACCGCCTTGTACAGGCAGAAGGGCAGGATTTAAAGGGATGCAATTCCCCATCACACCTTGTTTAGTCCTGTCAATGCTCTGGCCTCTGGATTCCAGGGTGGGAGACTTTGGGGGACTGAAAGCATCATAGGAGCACAGAATCCTGAAACAGAGGAAGGGGTTCATACAAAACCTCTCCGTTTCTGTTCCAGAGCCAGCATCCCATCCTTGTACCCAGCAATGCCCTGGTTTAAGATCAGGATGGCATTTCCGGTGACTCATTCCTGACTTCCCATTTGGGGTAGGTTGGGACAGGTTACCCTGCTTCTTTGGGACAGAGGATAGATTTTATGTTGAGCAAAGGGGCTGGGACCACTTGTCTGTGTCTAATCCAACAAGGAAGTGAGAAGACTTTTATTGTCCTCGACTTGGGCCCCTAGAGAGGGCTGGGTGCTGGCTGAGTGCTGAGGGGATTCTGGCTTGGAAATTCAGTACATCTGGACCCCAAATGGCTGCCTTCAAGTGGTGGCTGGGTAACTGCCAGTGTCAGTGTGGGGATTTTTTTTTTTTTTTTTTGTAGTTAGGATTGAATTTTGGGGTGCTTAACCACTGAGCTATATCCCCAGTCCCTTTTTGTTTTGAGTCAGGGTTTTATTTTGAGACAGGGTCTCACTAAGTTGCCTACCACCTCTGTAAGTTGCTGTGGCTGACCTTGAATTTGGGATTCTCCTGCTTCAGCCTTCTGAGTTTCTGGGATTACAGGCACCAATGTGCCCAGTGATTTTTTTTTTTTTAAACCCTTATTGGTTACCTCAGATTTAAATTATTGAGGTCACTATTCCCACATAGTTTTGTTCACTGATTCTTTTGACTAGGACAATGCTATTTGTGGATAAATCATTACATTGTGGGCCCTATTGCTATGCATAGTTTAAGACTTCCACCAAATAGAAGGTGATCCATGGGAATTCACCAGTCACTAACCAGTCTGTACTCTATATCTTTCTACACCAGAAGCTCTGATGCCCTCAGCTTCCCTAGGGAAGGCTTTGTGCCAGGTAACATTTCCTGGTCCTGTGTTCTAAGGAGGGCACCCCAACACAGAGATGAACATTTAATTTCCATTCTTCTTTCCTTACTGTATCTCCTTCTCCTCTCCTCTGTGTCTTTTCCAGGTGTATCCTTTTTTCTTTCTTTTTTAAGTTGTCAATGGACCTTTATTTTATGTATCTATTTGCAGTGCTAAGAATGAAATCCAGTGCCTCACACAAGCTAAGCAAGCACACTGCTATTGAGCCACAACTCCAGCCGGCAAGGTGTATTCTTTTTCTTTCCTCTGACTGGACACTGTTGGCCTGATTCTGTTAGACAAACCATGACCTCCGGTGGCTGCCCAGGAAGCTGACTACTGAGTTAAGGATGGGACCTTAACTCAGTAGTTAAGGTCCATGCAAGGAGGACAGGGCAGGTGGTACAAGTATGGCTTTCCCCACATATTAGTTATCCAGGAACATGGATGTGGTGGTCTAATACTGACTTCGAGAATTTGGATGTGCTGTATAGAGGGAGGAAGTAGAGATTAGTTGCTACGAATTCAAAATGAACCACAAACCAGAGTTAGAATGAAATGCATTATGTGATTGAATTTAGAATCAACACCCTAAATTACTTTATCGTGACTCACAAATGCACATGTGAATTATTTTCTTTTAATATAGATGCCTATGTACCAAAACCACAGTTCCAAGCACTACCTTTGAACTATTAAAACTACAGTAAGTGTGAATATTATTAAAAATGAACTGATATTTAATTTATTTGAATCCAGGATTGGGTATCCCAGAATAACTACTGGATAAGTCCTTCACCTTACACAGAGTAAATCCCAGAACCCCTAGATTCTTCCCACTTTGGGAGAAAACAGTTGGGCTTGGGTATTTAGAGAGGCACAGAGTCCTGAAGGAGACTGACCCAGATTAATATGCCAGATGTGCCAGAGAAAAAAAATCCCATACAAGATATGAGAGTAGACTAGAGAACTCTTGGGCCACCATAGTACCACATTTCTGAACTTCCAGTCCCTTCTACATGTGGTTCAGGTGCACGAGGTTGGATGTTGCCCTACATATTGGGATGACTAGGACATACAGGGTGAGTCCTGAGTGATTAATTCCTATGTGTGACTCTCTTCTCTCTGATCCATATGCAGCTCAGCTCTGTTCAGGAAGAGAGCAGAAGTGTGGTAAGTGTCAGGAGCAGTTTTGGGGACAACACTTCCTCCTGTGTTCCCATGCCTCTCTCTGGCCCCCTTCCATACTGAGCAAAGGGATGGGGCAGGCACATGCCCCTCTGATGAGCCTTGTCTGCTGGCTGAGGGAGTTTTCCAGGCACTGCCATTCTACACACTGGCCTGGAGCCCTGGACGCAGGCACCAAAAACAGACATTTCACCGTAGATGGGGCTTTTGGAGCCTTGCCTGCTCTGGGGCATTGGCTGGCCAGCATGGTCTGCAAGGGCCTCTGGGCAGGCCCAGGGTGGGGCAGCCACTTCCCAGTGTTCTCTCAGACTGTGGTTGTCAGAACTGTTTTAACATCTGAGCATAGCAGCCAGGGCTGAGAGCCCAAGTTAGGGCCAAAGAGGAAAGATATGGATCAACTTGTGGTTTAGAAATACAAACACATTATCCTTTCTCTGCACCTTTCTGCTCACGACTTGAAAAGCTTCCTGGGGATCAGGAACCTGCTAAGAAGCTCTCTTATGTCTTACAGGGCTCCTTCCTCTGGATGCCTCTGCTGTCCTTTGATAATAGTAACAATAATGCCTGCCAATTACTGAACACTTCTGATGGGTCTGATGGGCCCAGCCCTGTGCTAAACTGCACATATTATCTCAATCTTCACAGGGATCCTTGGATATAAGCATTATACTATTGTTATTCTTGTTTTACAGATGAGGAAACTGAGGCATAGAGTGGTTAAGGAACTATCTTAAGATCTCATAATTATTGCTATATACAGAATGTTTGTGTACCTCCCAAATTCTTATGTTGAAATCACCAATGTAAGGGTATTAGGAGGTAGGGCCTTTGGGAGTGATTAGTTCATGAAGGCAGAACCCTCATGAATGGGGTTAGTGTCCTTATAAAAGTGACCCTGGAAAGGTCCCTGGCTCCTTCAGCCATGTGAGGTTATAGTGAAAAGAGCCATTTATGAATCAGGAAGTGGACCTTCACCAGATAACAAATCTGCCAGCATCTTGATCATGGACTTTCCAGCTTCCAGAACTGTAAGAAACAAATTTCTGTTGTTTATAAGTCACCAGTCTATGGTATTCTGTTTACAGCAGCCCATTTGGACTAATTTGGACTAAAGGACTAAGCTAGAATTTGAATCTAAGTATTGAATTTGAATCTTGACTAGCACATGCAAGGCGCTGGGTCGATCCTCAGCATCTCATAAAAATAAATAAAGGTATTGTGTCCAACTACAACTAAATATATATACATATACACAATACCTTTATTTTGTTTTTATTTTTATGTGGTGCCAGGGATAGAACCACATAAAAATATATATTGGCAGGTGCAAAGCTCCAAGGCCTGGCAGGCTTGGCAGGCAGCAACTGCCAGGCCCAAGGAGCCCTTAGGCAGGAGGGAGGTAGTATCGAGACTGTAGCCCATTTGTCTCTGTAGACTTATAGCATGCCGTTAGCCTCAATTTCTTGTCATGCATAACTGGAAAGAGCATCTCCTCCCTTGGGAAGGTGGTGGAGTGATGAAGTCTAGAGCATTAGGGTACAGGGATCCTGAGGACCAGTGGCTCCAAACAAGGTAAGCATAGCTGCTGAAGAGTCAAGAAGAAAACTCCTCTCCTCCTCCTGTGCACATGCATGAATAAACACATATACACACCTGCCACAGGGAGCAATCAAACTCAGTTTGGTATACCACATAGCAAAATCCCAGGATTCTTCCAAAAGACAAGGCTACCACTTGCTAAACCAAC